AGCATGAAAAAGCGGGATATTCCACACGACGACCGATCCTTCTTTCCCATACATATGACGAATATTGTAGGCATAGAACTAAATATTTTCACCATATATTGAGAATCGAAAAATCCAGGACGAAGGACTAGGGAGCCTACAGAACCTTGTCAGAGTCAATCTTTTTCATAAACTAATCACGCATAAACATCATCACTTCGTCCAGAGACAAGCTTCTAATTCTTTTCAGGAAGAGACCGCATTGCCTGAAAATTCACATTATGATGTTAAGCACATGGAACGTGGTAACTGAAGGTAGCTTAAGTGCAAAACCAACCTTGGTTTTCAAACGTTTGCCCTATCGAAACCGAGGATTCGACAAGTTGAAGCCACAGAGTAGAATTATCTAATAGACCTTTTCCCTCGAAGAAAGTGTTCAGATCCACCACTCGTAACTAATACTAACGAAAAGGGTGTCGTTTTGGAAATGCGAAAAAGTGAGGTCTCGCGATCCAAGAATGAAACTCTGAAACTGGAAAAGAAAGAATGAAAATCTGCAAGTGCACAGCACGGTGTGATTTATCAGAAATTTGGGAGAATGTTCACGAGCCTAAATCACTTCATGTGTGTTATACTAGAAAGTGAAAGAGAAGAAAAGAAAACAACCGAAGCGGTCTATGGAATGAAAACTGGGATAAACACAGGTCAGAATCAACACTATGGGGGATTACTTTACAATAGGCGAGAGACTAGTCCGGCGAAGACAGATGCGCTACGAAAAAAAAAGAAAAACTTCAAGATTACATACAGGCACGAGACCTAATTGAGTTCTCATTATGGAATATTTCATCGTTCTGAACAAAAACAGTAAAATAAGCTGCAAACCCGGAACTCATTGTAGTTACTCTGACGAGAGAATTAAACATCTGCAAAATGCTGAAAGCAATAGCCATTTTGAAACCAGTGATCGAGAAAGTGATCGCATGAGCATCGAAGCGTTGCTAAAGGACGCCGTGAAACAACGCCTAATCCCTTGCTCCGATGACAACTCGGGAGTACGGTAATGCCACTCCGGGATTGCCGCGTTGCGGCGTGCCGTGCGCGGCGTGTGCGGCGTCGCTTGGCTTGCCGACGATAGAATCACACGAGTCCCACCAGATCTCTTATGATATTGACCGAGTTTTCTAGGATGTGATCTCGTTATTATCGAGAACCATCTCTGACACTTTTTTGAAGCTCGAAGTTGCCTTAATGGTTCGCTTTCCCATGCTAAAATTCCCAATTTCAATTTTTTTCTTTCCCAATTCGGCTAAATTCATGTGATATAATTTCAGTAAGAATACTCACCTTCGAACATTGAAGTCAAAAGTCGGAAAATTTCAGCTTTAACAAGCTGAATCTAGCAAAAATACTGCGAAAATACGGCAGGGATCAGCTGATCGAGAGCAATTATCGATCGGTAAGAGCCTAGAGCGGAAGAGACTGTAGACGGTGCGGCGGCGTGTGTTAGAGCGCAGAGTGCAGAGTAAGAACGCAGAGCAGGTTGTGCGGCCACCACACCGACAGGCAAACCTATCGGGCCGGCCTTAGATCGCCCACCGCGTCCGCTGAGAACTGGCACTGTATAACGGGGCTTTTATATCACGAAAGTTCTAGGACCACGGCTATTTTGGCAACCCTTAGGCATTTGACGCCGCGGCAAAGTCGAGAAGAATGCCTGGGTCTTCCGAGACAAGGACTAGGTAGATGCAGCATATCTATATACCATTTTCACTTTGAATCGGACACTTTTCAAACCAAATCGGACACTTTTCAAACCAAATCGGACACTTTTCAAACCAAATCGGACACTTTTCAAATCAAATCGGACACACCCCTTACAATTAGGTGGTTGATAACTAGACCACACTAGGTACTGTTGCAAGCCTCGCCCCATTATCCCCCCCACTTCTCAGCGCGGACAGGGTTTTCCGAGATGCTTCATGAAATCTGCTCCCTCGACTTTTTTCGTTTTTGCCCTTTGCACACACACACTTCAACTGAAAAGATTGCATAGCCAATACAGATCTGACTGCCGCTACTTAACAATGGAGTTACACGTAAGTAGTTCTTTTCACATCCAATCTTCACAAAACGAATAACCATGCACAGCACACCAGGCCCCCCCTCTGACCCCGCCCACTTGTGTTTATCGCGGAATTTTGGTTTTTCTTCCGGATTTTCGCTTTTTTAGGCTTTAGCGATTGGCTCCGCCCACCAATGGAAGCTCCGCCCACTTTGGGGAAGCCCCGCCCACTTTTCGAAAATGATGCAAATCGGCGGGCTAGTGTCCGTACTGGCGGATTACGGCCTCTCCCGGCACATAGAATAAAAAAGGGAAAAACCGGAAAAAAGGGAAACTTTGTTCTGAGCGACGGGAAGGCCGTAATCCGCCAGTACGGACACTAAAGCCCCCGATTTGCATCATTTTCGAAAAGTGGGCGGGGCTTCCCCAAAGTGGGCGGAGCTTCCATTGGTGGGCGGAGCCAATCGCTAAAGCCTAAAAAAGCGAAAATCCGGAAGAAAAACCAAAATTCCGCGATAAACACAAGTGGGCGGGGTCAGAGGGGCGGGGGGTGTGCTGTGCATGGTTATTCGTTTTGTGAAGATTGGATGTGAAAAGAACTACGTCGAAAAAAGTTATAAAAATTCAGAACTTACGTAACTTCATTGTTAAGTGGGCGGAGTCAGATCTGTATAGGTATCAATCTTTTCAGTTGAAGTGTGTGTGCAAAGGGCAAAACACACACACGAGGAAAAAAGTCGAGAGCATTTCATGGAGCATCTCGGAAAACCCTGTCCGCGCTGAGAAGTGGGCGGGGATAATGGGGCGGGGCTTGCAACAGTACCTAGTGTGGTCTGGTTATCAACCACCTAATTGTAAGGGGTGTGTCCGATTTGATTTGAAAAGTGTCCGATTTGATTTGAAAAGTGTCCGATTTGGTTTGAAAAGTGTCCGATTGGTTTGAAAAGTGTCCGATTTGGTTTGAAAAGTGTCCGATTTGGTTTGAAAAGTGTCCGATTTGGTTTGAAAAGTGTCCGATTTGATTTGAAAAGTGTCCGATTTGGTTTGAAAAGTGTCCGATTTGTTTGAAAAGTGTCCGATTTAAAGTGAAAATGGTATATATCCAACAGGAATACAATAACCATATAAAGCGGGGCTTTTTATGATCACGAAAATTCTAGGACCACGCTATTTTGCAACCCTCAGCATTTGACGCCACAGCTAGTCGGCAAAGTCGAGAAGAATGCCTGGGTCTTCCGAGACAAGGACTAGGTAGATGCAGCAATATCTATATCCATTGTGAATCTCAACCTCAGTTCGAATATGTGACCCATCCCTACATTCCCTTGACTGTCGACTCTTTCAAGCATGCCCTGTAAGCTGTAATTGTTTACCATCTGATGGGTGTGAGGTGCTGCAACCATGTTGCCGACGTTACTAAAGTCGTCGCGTGTATGACATTCACAAGGGAGACCTGAGAGATTTGAAAGGTGTAGCATGTCGAATCCAATCAGCCGTGACGCACTAGCAAGTTGGACGCATCAGCCCAACGCGTACAGTCATGACCTCCGCAAACGATAGGGCGTGCCACTAAGCGCGTATCGGAGCGCGGCCAGGGCGGCGTTGTTCCGGCAGTGATGTCATCCGAAGCCCGCTACAGCTACAGGTGGTTGGAAATCTGCCCTGGGTGTGCTCCAAGCCCCCTCCTGTGCCCTATAAAGTGCAGCGCTTATGACCATGTGACATCCAGAACCTGTCAGTTTGAACGGCGCGAATTCCTTGCTCCGCCGGATCCGTCGAGGTGAGCGCCTCATACTACATCCTCAATGCCCTTACATGATCCTCGTTCTGGATGAGTTCTGAACAAATCTTATCGTCACGTTGTGAAGTGAAGTCAACATTATCCGCAGCACATGGTCGATTGGGTTGACGTGCAGTTTAAGCTTGCATGAGAACACCACGAAGCGCACCGAACATGTGCATGTACATCTTTCCCTTTTATTAAACCGGAGAAGAACTGGAAAAAGGGACTCCTCGCTGTGGCGATCGCTTTGAACGCGCCCATACTCATCAGTGAAGTCACTGTACCTTCTCGAGATTGACCTCAGGCCGGACCTGGAAAAAAGCGTGATTTGCGTAGACACTATCTGGCACATAGAGTGGCTTTTTTCTGACGGTTTTTTGGGCATAAGAGATCCTGAACAATTTTAACATTAGCCGTTTCTCCTGGAGGTTACTCATAAATTTTATTATTTATTGTATTATATTTAAGCCTTAATGCGTACATAGAACGCGCAGGCCAAGTTGAAGTGGCAACGTAGGTACACATTTATCTGAGAGCTAATAACTGGCGCAAAAAATCATTAAAAAATTATGCTCAAAACGCGAAAAAACAAATGCAGCCTACTACAACTACTGACTATGCGCTTATAGACGAGCCGACGCTTCTTAGAAGGCACTAGTCCTGAGGAAGTACGTTTAGATCACAAGACAACTGGAAATGAAGCTCTACTCATCAGACAAAAACCAAAGCGGCAACAAGATAAGGTGCTCATACCGCGAGTGGTGAAACAAACGGAAAAAAGCCAATTAATGTGCATGAAGAACCGTCCCTAGGATTATATGGATACTAGGCATAGGCCCCCCCGTACCATCCAGTGAAAGTCAAACGTTGAAGTTTTGGCTGCGTGTTATATGGCGAACAGGATTATCAAAATTACACCAAAATTTTAATAAAATTTACCGCACAAAAAATTGATTAATTAACGAGAAAAATAAAACAGGGAAACAAACATATCAATCAGCGATATGCAAAAACTTAATATCAAGAATAACGTCCAAAATGGTTCAGAAAAAGAAGTTGGAAATATTTCACTTTACTAAATTCTCGCCAGCCTATTAGCTGTCAAATAATGTTTTTAATTTGAACTTGCACTCATGCACATCAGAAAAAAAAGCTTCATTACCGATGAATACCTCACTCATATCTTGCTAGCGTCTTGTTACCGGCAGGAACACTTTCTTCATACTGGATAACTTTATATGCGACATTGAGGCGGCCAGCATCGAACCATTTTTCCACATTCGGTCCTCTTACGACGTACTTGGGTGGCAGTGGTAGATTCAATTTCCGAGTGCAAAGCTACAAGTCGAAAGAATATGCAACAGATGAATAGAGAAGGAAATTCAACATTTTTGCCTTCCACTGCCTAATTTGTCAGAATTCTGGTCACATTTCGAACGAAATTTTTTCCTAAAGGTAGCATTCAGATAGAAGTTTTTGGCATTGGGTACTTCAACAGGAATATGCCGTATCTTCGCTCGGGCGGGCAAGAGAACTTGTCGCCAATCTGCGCGTGGGCGTAGAGGTGGCGCCGAGAATGCCAACCATTTTCGCAGTAAGCGTAAATGACATTCTCTTTCCAGCCTTATTCACCCTGGTGGAAAAGACACTGTCGTGACTGACGCGCGACCTTCCCTGGGGGGGGCTGATGAGGGCGCCCGGTGAGATACTCGCGCTCCGGTTGGCACTACAGTTGGTTCCTAGCTATTGAAAAAAGGCCTGTATCCGCGGGAAAACGGCGCGCCAGACAGGTACTATTGGTCATAATTTATGTCACAAATACAGTCTCGTCGTGCGCTCATTCATCGAGGCGGTTGTGCAACTGTGGACCTCATGCGCGTCGCCCATTCCCTTTCCGTTCTAACTCATTCCATGTCTTCGTGCGCCGCGTGGTCACATAATGGATCAGACTCTGTCCACCTATTGCTCCCATCCTCACCTTCATCCACAGGTACGACTTCCTCTTAATCATTTTCTTTGTACATATTAATATCGATTAGCCATTGGCCATGTGTATTATTAGATTACGATGAATTTGTCTATGTTATGTAATGTGTAATGATGTTGTAATGTATTATTAGATTACGATGAATTTGTCTATGTTATCGTGTAATGTTTTTCTACATGAAGTTCTGAAGGTAATCGTGTCTTGTCAGAGTAATTATAGTGGGTAGATCCATGATTGTCATCCACTTAGCAAGGGGCAGGCCTCATTCAGCCCGTGGCAGGACCCTTGGGGCACACAACGGCGCGACGTCCCCTTGTAGGAGGGTGCGGGCCCTAATAACCCCGCGCTCTGGCGTGACCCGGGTGCACCCCGCCGATGCCAACGTCTCTTGTCGGCACCTGGGCACGACAGACACAACCTAAATATGACTAGAACTTCGACACTTCCTAAAAATTCTTAAAAAAATTGAAGGAGATGGATACTTTTATACTCATGAAGTGGTGTCTTATTGAGATTCATCTGAAATAAAGATGGAGAACTTTCATTTTTGCACGCCCACTTCATGGCGACGAATGAAACTGCTCATTCAGCACCACTCCCGCTCCACTGTCTCACGTGCGACCGTCTTGAACTCAAGGACATATCTTAGGTACATACCTAGACGGAAAATCTCTATAACTTTGCAAAATTTCTACACCAGTTTTCATAAAAACAGACCCCTTTCGACAAGCAAATACGACCCTCTTCCTAGCTGTGTATCGAGTGCCATATGATCGCATGAGTATGGTATTCCCTAGACGTCTTCGCTCGAGGCGAATTCCTGGGAATTATGGCCAACGCCTTCACCGTTGGTGTTTCGCAGTGGTGCTTGATCTTCAATCGTACATTCAATGGCAGCAAAGAAGAGTCCTTTCCTTGAATATAAAAATGTCCATTCCTATCGGTGGTGGTATTGGCTAACTCGTGGCCAGGCCCTGAAGCGATTGCGTTCAAATTTAAATGCGGTGACATCCTGTAAACACTGTATTGATAACGAACCCACGACTTTGTAACTCCATAGTCTCACTAAGGCCCCTATAAGAGGAGCAGTTCCACACATGAGTTGACCATGGAACACCGATATGTTGCTCACGAAATGCCAGAGTGGGAATGAAAAGAAAGCCGAGAAGAGGAAGTGTCTCCATTCTGAACACTGATGGTAAGTTTGGAACTTGAGACCCTCTTCTCACATGATGACAGGATTTGGACCGAAAAGTTGGAACTACTTTTCTACAACTATTGTAGGTCTTGTTCTCTTTCCCGGTAGCTCTAGACATTGACATAGAGAAGATCCGTTCAAGGTAGTTGTTATTGCTTTGACCCTTCCCTGATGCCCTTGGGATCCTGTATTGAATCTAGTGAATCTGTTATCTCTTCGAAATGCCTATTTGGAATAACTGACAATGACTGGGGTGTAAAACATGTCCAGAAGAATGGCTCCTCTGCAATGTAGAATATTCAAAGATAAACCTGAATATTGATAATATGGCGTCTAATTACAAATCTATAGTCGCTAAATGATTCTAAACGGAAAAAGAGCAAAAAAAATCGTGGAGAACACTTTAAACAGTGACCTGGTGGACTCTGTGAAAGAGTTGTCAAGAACTGCTCATCTTATGCCAGCGAAGCGTTATCCTGCCACCTCTGGCTCACTATTCCTTTCTCCGAGTAGTCCAATAATAACACTGACT